AAAAAAAAAAAAAAAAAAAAGAAGAAGAAGATGAGTGAAGACATAACACAGTACATTTATATGATGAAATAACGTGTGCCTATTACAAGATTGATGTAAATGCACATTTATTGACGTAGAGTGTCTTTTTGAAAAGTTGTTCAATGAAAACAGTAAGTTGGAAAAAAGTTAGGTGGAATATGGTAATAATCCTGTCCAGAAAGGCAGAGCATAAAATCTCAGTGGTGGTATCTTTAGACAGCTAGCTGGTGGGCTATTTCTATTTGCTTCTTTACATCTATTTTGAACTCTTTGAATTTTCCATAGGAATCCCATCATATTACCTTTGCAGAAGGAAAGAACAATAAAACAAAATAAAAGTAGACAAGCCCAGGCGCCCTCCCTCCCTGGGCACCTCCCTAAGAGACTCACCTTCATCAAATCAACAGCATCTTTCGCATCCCTTTCAAAAAAGTCTACTGGGAAATCTCGATCTGGGGGTCTGGAATGCCCATATCCTCGAGGATCCCAGGCGACCACAGTAAAGAGCTGCTTATTTAGGTTCTTGAGCTGGGGTTCAAAATCAGTCTCTCCACTTCCTGAAAACAGCCACCTGGTTACGCTGAGGCGAATGCTTTCCTTGTATACACATTACAGTGAAAACAGAAGTAATAACAATCTTAAAGCAAAGTAGCCAGTTGCTACTCAAAGTCAGCCCAGAATGCAATCAGGAAAGTGATCTTTTAATGACCTACCCAATCCATTCACTGAGAAGCCAACTACCTTTCCTGGAGGCTTCAGACCTGCCTGCGATCTCCCCCTGGTGGCTATTTTGAGAAGGACTAAGGCCCTGCGTCGTCTCAGGATTATTACAGTGCTTTCAATACCTCCTTACTGAATCTTCCTTTCCAAACAAAAGAATTAATGACACTGTACAGAAATAAATTTACCTACATGATATGCTTCTGGGATCTTTTATCTTTTTTTAAAATGACTTAACATGACTTCAGTGAAAGATGTCTGTAATATCTGTAAACAAATTTATGAGATTGGTCCAAGTTATTCAAAGCAGAATTCTAAAATTCCAATTTTTTTTTTACTGAGTTAATGTAATGCCCCTGTTAATACCCCTGAAGACGTTACTGTTTTAATTAAAAACCATAAAGCTAACCTAAACATGTAACGTGGGGAGGAATGGAGGGAAGGAATTAGTTTGTTTCATCAAAACAGTTCAAAACAGCTTATGTTAACAAGTAAAACTATACATGGGTCATTATGAAAGTTTTGACATACACAAAAATCAAGAAACAAAATCCGTGTGAATGGAAACAAATGAAGTCCTCCCAGCAACACTGATAAGCTGAGCAAAGTGAAACTTGGCCGGGTGAATCAGAAAGGACGCTGTCAGCTATGTTTCTTGGAAGTGAAATGATGGGTCATGACACAGTCTGTCTCAAAACGTTTGTAGTGACCCACCTATTCCTGGGCCTTTGATGGACTTGACTGGCTGTCCCAGTCACTCTAAGTGGTGGAGTGTCCACACCCACTGCATACAGGGCCACTCTCAAGAGCCTGGTCCAGGGGCAAGTCAGCATTTTATGCCCACTGATTTCTCAGGACTCATAGCTCAGGCCACAAATGAATACTAAACACTTTGCCTGAAAAACTGGTTATACTAGAAAATGTCTTTCAAGATGGTGCAGGATCATTTAACATTATCAAGGCTCATCATTTTTCCTGACAAGAGATATCTTTTTGAAGATGAGAAAATCATTCAAAAAACCCAAGCAAAAACAAATCAACAGATCTGCAGACTATAGCAACCACTCTGATCCAGGGGGCTTTTCTTTCAATCTCTGACCTGAGAGACTTCTACTGGGAAATTGATCTGGAGAAGGCAGGAAAAAAGGGAACCATCTAAAAGATCGATTTCAGAAATAATATTTGCTTTCTTTCTTTTCTGCTTGCCTTCCTGCCTGCCCTCCCTTCCTTCCTTTGACAGAGTCTCACTTTGTTGCTTAGCTTGAGTACTATTGCATCAGCCTAACTCACAGTAACCTCAAACTCCTGGGCTCCAGTGATCCTCCTGCCTCAGCTTCCCAAGTAGCTAGAACTATAGATGCTACTATAGTTCTAGTTCAGGTGTTGTTGCCCGCCAAACACCTGACTAATTTTTCTATTTTTAGTAGAGACAGGTTTTGCTCTTGATCAGGCTTGTCTTGAACTGCTGAGCTCAAGCTATCCTCCTCGCTTGGCCTCTTAAGAGTACTAGGATTATAGGTGTGAGCCACTGCACCTGACCAGAAATTTACTTTCTGGCACACATGCATACATTTGAAGGCTACTGCCAAGAAAAATGAAACCTTAAAAAAAAGTTTAAAGATGAGATGTGCATATGACACCTGAGAAACTGGGGGACAGGAGATGGGGGGGGAATAGGAGAGAGAAGCTCACTGGTCCACTTTTTGATTTTGAAATCATGCTCTCATGTTTTACTCAACTAAAAGTTAAATTAGTAAATGTTTTTTGTACCCGGATAATTACTGCAATATTGAAATAATGGAAAGCTAAGCTGGGAAATTATTCATTGTTTTTACAGATAACTTTAGCTTTTCATTGGCCATTGGAGTGAATGTCCTTTTTCATTACAATAGCTTAAAGAAAACAAGGATCCTAAACACTATCTAGACAAAGAGACCTTGCTGCTACAATGGTACCACAGTCAGGTCAAGTGGAATCATCACTGACTGAAATAATTTCAGCACTTTATACTTTTTTTTTGGCCGGGGCTGAGTTTGAACCCACCACCTCCAGCAAATGGGGCCAGTGCCCTACTCCTTTGAGCCACAGGCACTGCCCTCAGCACTTTACTTTTAAAAGGACAAAAAGCAAATCATACGGAATAAGTACAGTTTTCCATATCCCTGGGTTCCACATCTGTGGATTCAACCTACTGTGAATTAAAAAATACTAAAAAAAAAAATGGCTGGGTCTGGACTGAATATACAGTTATTTTCTTGTGATTATTCTCTAAACAGTATAGTATAACAACTATTTACATAGCATTTACATTGTATTAGATATTATCCATAATCTAGAAATGCTTTAAAATATGCGGGAGGATGTGCAAAAATAATATTAATACTTTACCATTTTATAGTGGGGACTTAAGTAACTATAGATTTTTGTATTTGCATAGGGTCCTGGAACCAATGCCCCATGGATACAGAGGGATTATTATGTATAGGGGAATTATTTAACTAAATAAAAAATAAATCAACACTAACCCCTTAAAACCAAATTTGTGATGTCTTGGGATCACTAGAAATATTCCCTCTGAACTGTCTATGACTGAACAACTTTTCTGAAAAGGAGATTGAGATCCAGTGGGCTTTATTATGCCCTATACACTAAGAGGGTAATGTACCAATCTGATTTTGATTTTCAAGAAGACATTTTTTCTTGCCTCTTATATTAATTGAACATATTATCACCACAACAGGGAGATCAATCCAAACTGGCTCTAGTGCCTGGAAAACCCCTCCACACCAGGCCAATTGGGATGACTGGTAACTTACTCACCTCCTTCTTCCCACACCCCTTTCCTTACTCCTGGCACCCTCCCAAACTGTGGGGAAAACTGGGCACTTACAGGAATAAAAAATACTTGTAGTAGAAAGTCATCTACTTTTCTGAATCACTTATGTGTGATACTGGCATACATTATTTCAAACATTTTGGCAAAAGACTAAAATTAACGATCAATATTTGGCAGCTAGTACTGTGAATGCATCATAGATTAGATAGCATGTAAAAGCCATTAAAAAATGTCCAGACCCAACATCCCAGGAAGCAGCAGGACTGCATGTTCTCCCTGGCCCGTCCGCTGGTAATGCAGGTGAACCCCATTCACTGTCACTTTGCCAGAGGTTACGGAGGTGCTAGAAAAAAAAAAGAAACAAACACCGGTCTAGGCAGGGGAAGGAAGGGACAGGGGTAGATTTGTTAAAGGATACAAAATTACAGCTAGATGACAGCAGGAAGTCCTAGTGTTCCATAGGAGTGTAGGAGAGTATATTTTCAGATAGGAGGAGGGGATTGAATGTTCCCAACACAAAGAGGTGATAAATGTTTGAGATGAAGGATATGTCAGTCACACTGATCTGATCACTATGAGTTACATATATTTAAACATCACTTTGTACCCCATGAATGTGTACCATTATGTCAATTTTTAAAAATCTAAATGTTTTTTTAAAAATCTATGCCCAAGAGAAAATTGTTTAGCAGTACAAATTTAATGTGGCAAAACTGCCCTTTCACATGCATGAGTCAGCTCTGGTACCCCTTTCCAGATTCTTGGATTGTTTTGGTTTGTGCCTCAGTTTCCCAATTCTGAGCAGTGACACGATGCATCTGTATCTTCCTTCCCAGAGTGCAGATCTGAACTGCTGGAGCTCACCATGCCGAAGCACTGAGAGACTTGCTGAAAGCAATGGCATAGAGGCCCATGGCACGTGCCGGTGAACTGGAAGCTGGGGGAGCCCCAGTGCAGCTGGTGTGGGGGCTCTGCACAGTAAGGTGCAAGGGTGGGCATCAGAAGCAGGAGCCGGGAGCCACCCCCAGCGCCTCAGCAGGCCTAGAAGTGCAGATCTGCGGCAGCCTTGGCGGCAGTCTAAAAGATGAGACTGAAAGGAAGGCCTCTGTAGGGACAGACAAAAGTGATTTGGGCTTTCTCACCCATGGCCTTGGATGTGGGACAAGACAAAGCTGTCTAGGCTTTCTTACCCATGGGAAAGTGCCACGGGTTCCTAGATAGCCATGACTGCGTACAGTGAAGTCACGCTTATGTAACTGCTACTTGGCATGTTGCCATTATTGTTCCCTTGGGTATAAAGGTGCACAAGATCTTCTATGTGTGTGAATCGTGGGTCACAGAATGTGGACTTTCTATGTCACTGAGCTCCAGGTGCTGGACAAGGGCAGACCTCCCATGCTTGCTCACCAGTGCCTGTGCGCCAAATAAAGCATGCTGTACCCGCCCTCCATGCTTGAGTTCCTCTCCGGTCTGTCTGAACCAGATGCTGGCATTACAGCCTCCATCTCAGGCAGCGCTTTTGCTGTAGAGCTTCTTGTTCCGTAGTGCCTTCCGGCCAGTGGCACAAGGGCTTGAGTCAGGAAGGCCCATCTGCACCATGACCACTATGCCAGCTCAGTAAGAAGTCCAGATAGTTCTGTGACGATTGTCAAACTGCCATGTCCACAAGCCCCTACCTCAAAAGCACTTTCTCTTGCTTGGGGCAGGGCTAATGCCAGCGTGTGTCCTGCCAGAATGACGTGTGTGCTGTGCAGGCAGCCTCCAAGCTCTCCTTAGCTCTTCTCCAGAGGTTGTGCGGGGATGTGCACAAACAGCACATGCAAGGCCACTCTCCACCAATTTACTGGCCAGGTGACCGCGTGACATGCAGAAGGGACATATTGGCACGCGAGGCAGATGCCAAGAGGAGCTGCTTGTCTCCTAGTGGACTGTTGGTAAGCTTGAATCAACCACTGCCTCCTTTTTCTCTCACATACTCCCTACCCTACCTTCAGCCTTAGAATGATTCTTGAAACGCAGCACATTTGAAAAAACAAAGGTCCCGTTTCCTCTTCTACTTCCCCTTATTAGCCAACTTCAAGTAAGAAAGAAACAAATGCAGAAACAAATGTGCTGCATACAGGTGCAGCTAATCTTAACACACAATGTCTGGAAAAATATAAGGCAGAATCGGGCAGTAACAAGGCTTGACATAACCACAAGCTCATTATCTACAGAAACACTAATTGGAGGAGCAATAACAAAGCCACAGAACAAGGGCAATAATGACAGCACCAATTTAGTTATGATTGACATCCTATTCCTCTGAAGAATGCATCTATGTGGTTAGGATGGCCTGAGACAGCGTAGGACCCATATAGAGGCAAATAAATGCACTCTACAGATAAAGACTCATTTCAGCAAATATTTGCTTATTGGTGCATCTTCTTTGTTCACAATCTAGTAAGAAAGAAGGTAAAGACACAAAGGACTGTTTATGAGCAAAACCAAATTAATTTCAAACCTAAGAAAAAGCCAGGCCCAGGGGCTCATGCTTATAATCTCAGCATTTTGGGAGGCTGAGTGGGGAGGATTGCTTGGGCCTAAGAGTTTGAGACCATCTTGTGCAAATAGCAAGACCCAGTCTCTAATTTTTTTTTTTTTTAAACTTAGCCAGGATTGTGGTGGGCACCTGTAGTCCCAGCTACCTGGGAGGTGGAAGGATTGTTTAAGCCCTAGAGTTTGAAGTTGCTGTGAGCTATGATGCCATGGTGGTCTACCCAAGGAGACCGAATGAGACTGTCTCAAAAAAATGAAATAAAATAAAAATATTAAAGAAAACAGAGTTACTGAAAACTGATGTATTTTCACAGAAATACAAGACAAAAAAAGAAACCCCAATATTTAAAGAATAAAAATAAATGTGTCTTTTCCACCACTCTCTCACTTCTTAACAATCACTTCTCTAAACCAGGTGTTCCTAAGCAGGTGTGTGCCCTGCTATAATCACCTGTGGAGATTTTAACACACACTTGCCCAGGACACTCCTGGGAGACTATAACTCAGTTACTCTAGGGTAGAGCCCCAGTGTCTACTTTCAAAAACACCAAAACTCTACTATACTTTTCATTCATCTATTTCCTGAACACCTACTTTGTGCTGGGCACTTAAAGGTGCCCTCATGTAGCTTGATGGCTAGCAGGAAAGACAGATAAATAAACTGCCACCAGCATCTACTAGGCAGTGTTCCGAGTATTAGGAAAGAGAAATAGTGGAGGGAGGGGTGGGTAGGGTGGCAGATGGGACCCTGGGGTGCAGGTGGAAGGCATCAAGTTCACTGCACCTTCAATGTCTCCACAGCTACTCATGCAGCCCCTTTCTAAAAGAGCACTTCTTGCCTCCCACTCATCAGGGGGCTCAAACTTAGATAGGAATCACTTGGCAAACTCAAATCTCTGATGCTCAAGCCACATTACATCAGAACTTCTGGAGTAGATGACAGGCATGGTGGCTCACACTGGCACTCTGGTAGGCTGAGTTGGGAGGGTTAGAGTCCTGGAGTCTGAGACCAGCCTGAGCAGGAGCGAGAGCCCCATCTTTACAAAAGTAGAAAAGTTAGCTGGGCGTGATGGTGCACACCTGTAGTCCCAGCTACTTGGGAGGCTGAGGCAGGAGGATGGCTTGAGCCCAGGAGTTTGAGATTACAATGAGCTATAGTCACATCACTGCATGCTAGCCTGGATAACAGAGCAAAACCCTGTCTCAAAACAAAAAAACAAAAAATAAATTTCTGGGGTGGGAGCGAGGTACCTGCATTTTTTAAATTACCCAGATTCTAATAGGCAACCAAGCTTGAGAATGACTGAGTAAATTTCTTGGAGGAAATTAACTCCCTTTTATCTTCCTTTTAAACCATGTCTTACTACCTGTGTTTATCCCTGATTCCCTCTTTCTGAGAGGCTGAACAGGCCATTTTGTGAAAGGAAAGAATTCCCTTTCACAGAATTGTGTAAGTGATACAGGATAAATGGCGTCCCAGCCAGCTTGTGGAGCTGGGAGGAGGGGGGTGGCGCGGACTGGCTGCCTCCACCTTGGCAGTGTTGATGTGGTGGCAGGGAGCAAAGGAACCAGCTGGCAGGAGGGTAGGCAGGGGGCCCCTGCAGGAGGCTCCAGTAGCCAGAGGGACCAGACAACTGCTGGGGAGTCACCAGCACCTTAGGCTGAACAGGGAACCCTCATTTTCTAGGCCTGGTCAATTTCATGTAAGTTTCCTAGGCCTGGGAATGAAAGACATTGTAGCCATTCATTTGCAAGCCAGACATGTCCCAGACAGCTAAATGTAACTACTGAGACAGGCTAAATGTAACTACTGAGAGCCAGACATGATGTCCCAGACAGCTAAATCTAACTACCAAGCCCCGCTAAATGTAACTACAAAGGGCCTATACCCCCAGACAAAGAGCCAGGAGGGAGACAGACAGACAGACAGAGAGCTTTTCTCTCCAACTTGGGTTATCTCTCTCTGCCAAGACCGCTGGCGCTTCTGTATTCTTTTCTGTAAATAAATCCTGTCTTACCACTGATCTGTGGTCCGAGGATTCATTCTTCGAATCACCAAGACCAAGAACCTACTGAAGAGCGCAATTCCAGTATCATAAGGATTACTTTACGAGTTAAGCTGCTCCCCTCAGAGAGGAAGAGTTTACTGTTAGGAGAGGCAAGAATGTAAAAGCTTGGCAAATAATTAAACTAAATCTAACCTTTACACTCTCTTTCAAGCACTCTTTAGAGCTTTTCCTAACCCATTCGTTTTGCCCTGAGGTTTAGTTGAGCACATTAAGCTCAACCTAATTTTACCACCCAAGAGCCTGAGGATCAGGGAATTTGCCCCAGTGGCACTGCTAGTGATCTGCAAAGCCAACCCTAGAGCTGCAGCTTTTCAGCACTTTGCTCAGAGACAAAGTGCTTTACTAAGATACACCCTTACTTTCAAAGTCCTAATGTGGCATTATATGTTCAGCTATTTCATTTATTTTTTCCAAAGTAGCCATTAGCCACAATAAAGTATTAACTGCCCCCAGGGCTTTATTTATATGCATTTATAACTTTTATAATGTATGATTTAGATATTCCAATTGTACCTACTAATTACTTAGTATTTATTATGTCCCAGGCCTTGCGCCTGTGGTCCCAGCTACTTGGGAGGCTGAGGCAGGAGACTCGCTTGAGCCCAGGAGTTGGAGGTTGCTGTGAGCTGTAATGCCACGACACTCTACCCAGGGGGACAGCTTGAGGCTCTGTCTCAAAAAAAAAAAAAAAAAAGTTCACAGAAACCTGTGGTCCCAGCTACTTGGGAGGCTGAGGCAGGAGACTCGCTTGAGCCCAGGAGTTGGAGGTTGCTGTGAGCTGTAATGCCACGACACTCTACCCAGGGGGACAGCTTGAGGCTCTGTCTCAAAAAAAAAAAAAAAAAAGTTCACAGAAACTCTGCAAGGCAGGAGGTTCAGAGGGGTTGAGTAACTCACACATTGACCCAGATAGGAAGTGGCAGCGTGGCCATTAGAACTCCAGAGATCATGACTCCTACCTAATCTCACGGCAGCCTTATGGCAGAACAGAGTTCCCGACAGACTCAGGCACTGCCGGTTAGAGAGCAGTGGTGGACATCAGTGGAAAGACAGTCTGATCCTCTGGCAGGGGATCTCAAGGTTTAACTTGAAAAATACTTTTCTTCATGTAGACTGTTATGTTCTTTAAGTTATTAATATTATAACTGTATATAACATAAAATTTCAGTCAGAAAAGGCTTTTTTTACCTGACCCAGGAATAAACCACCTTCCAGATTATGTAAGAAAAGGGTTAAAGTTCCAGACAACAGACTTATAAACAAGTGTTTGGAACACAATTCAATTGTAGATTGGGTACTGACTGTTATGAAGCGAAATATTTACAGGGATGCTATTACCTACTTCCAATTGTACCTACTAAATACTTAGTATTACCATTACCTACTGTTATGAAGCAAAATATTTACAGGGATGCTATTACTGGGCTGCGGCCTTGTTTCAGCATTAACCAACTCCCATGCTTATTTTCCCAGATTATATGTTGCAGCTGCACTTATAAAATGGCAGTACAAAATCCAGAGGAACTTGTTTTTAGAACTGTTTTAGGAAGAATGATCTGTAGTGAAGCTAGGAAGATGGGACTTTCCTGCAACCATTAAACAAACTTATCGGAACTGTGATATTGGTACAATCCCTGTTACCTTATTTCAACGCCTTTCTGCAGACAGGAAAAGTGGATAAAATGCCTTTTTTTATTTTTTTTGAGACAGAGTCTCACTTTGTTGCCCTCTGTAGAGTGCTATGGCATCATAGCTCACAGAAACCTCAAACTCTTGGCTCAAGCAATCCTCTTGCCTCAGCATCCTGAGTAGCTGGGACTACAAACCCCTGCCACAATGCCCTGCTATTTTCAGAGGTGGAGGCTCACTCTTGCTCAGGCTGGTCTGGAACCTGTGAGCTCAGGCAATCCACCAGCCTCGGCCTCCCAGAGTGCTAAGATTACAGGTGTGAGCCACCACGCCAGGCCACAATGCCCCATTTCCCACTATTGATCTACATAGCTGCAGCCATTGGCATGTTTTCCCAGCTGTTACAATAGTCTCAAAAATCTTCTAATAATTCAAAAATAATAATAAAAGAACATAAATGAGATATGAAACTCAAGAGCTAGTCAAGCATATGAAAATTTGAAAGATGGTTGCCCTTTCTCCTTTCCAGATTAGGTTCTCAACCTAAAAGTTTCCACAGTAGATCAAGTATAAACTTATAAATGGCAGGCACCTACCCAGCGTTTGACTTTTCTCCTAGTCACCAAGGGAAACGACCTATCAACATTAATTGCACACACGCATTGGGTACATTTGTGTGTGCATGCATGTGTATAGAAAACAAAGTAAAGCAGTTTCACGCTGCTCTATCCACATTTACACTCAGCACCTCTAGGAACCAACAGTACCCACTTTCAAGGAAGCAGGTCAGAGATTCAGGTTTTTTGTGGTTATTATATTATCTGAAATGAAAGGAAGGGTGGGAGGGCAAACGAAGCAGCTTTTTGAGCTTCTCCATGCACCTACATCAGCTCCTTTACAGTGAGGCCCAGAGGTCTGAATTTTCACAGGTTCTCAAGAATTACTCGTTAGCACATTAGAGTTCCAGATCAACAAACAAAGAGAAGAGTCAGGAGACTTGGGATTCGTGACTTACACCTTAATAGTACTATGAGTTAATTACATGGAGCGACAGGGCGGCCCAGGCTACATCCACGGTCCTCCCCGCGCCGACCAGCCCACCTGCAGCCAGCACACGCCCCTCCCGCCGCCCCTTAAGTGCAGCGATGCAGGGGCTACCCGACCGGAGACGGTGTCATTACCCGAACGCGGCCGCGGGCCCGGCCGGGGAGATGTGGATCCCAGGCTTCAGCGCCGACAGGGATAGCCGAAGCACGCCTCTGTAGCCCAGAGCAGCGGCCATGATCTAAGCTCCAGCCGCCGCAAGGGCACGCCTGCTGGACCCCGCAGCCAACCTGGGCCTACGCGGCTGCGCCTCGACGCCCCGCCCCACCCCACTGGGCTGGGCCTCTACGCCCCGCCCCGCCCCGCCCTCAGCCTGTCTGGCCTCGAGGCCACGCCCCTCCCTGGGCCCGCCTTCCCCGAAGCCCCACCCCCCAGAGCTTGCTTAGGAACCACCTAAACCCTATTTGCTATTTCGCCAGTCCTGCAAGCGCCGGGCACCCGTGCAATTTCCTCTCTCAATGCTAGCTCTGGCTTCCACGTAGTAGTCACAGTGGGCACCACCCGCTCCCTGCCCGTCGCAGCCGTAACCGTGGCCATTCCAGGAGGCGAGGACGCCCTCCATCCTGCTCTCTCTGGTGGGTGTCCAATTAGGGGCTCTGGAACGGCAGGCGGAGACTCCTGCTTTGGCTGGTTGCTAACGGTGGGATGAAGTGCCTTTCCTTAGGGATGATGGGATCTATGTATTTTTTTCTTTATGCCGCTTCATACTCATTAGGATAGCTACTAGCAGAAATCCCAGAAATTAGCGTTGGTGAAGATGTGGAGAAAATGGAACCTTCGTGCAGTGCAGGTGGGAATGTAAAATGTTATAGCCCCTGTAGTAAACAGTACTGCGGTTCCTCAAAAAATTAAGCACAGATGCCTATGGTTCATCCTATAAGGGTACATGTGAATCTCTCTAAATGAAGAATATAAATGTCTTAACACAATAACTAAGAAAAAGACATGAAGGTTATGTTAACCAGTTGGATGAAAGTATTTCAAATTGTATACAGAAACAGTACACTGTACCCCAGGATAGTATTAATGTACACTGCTATGATTTAATAAAAAAAAATTAAACACAGAATTACCATATGATCCAGCAATTCCAATTCTGGGCATATACCCAAAAGAATTGAAAACTGTTTTGAAGAAATATTTGCACACCCATGTTCATAGCAGCATTATTCACAACAGCTGAGGGTGGGAGCAACCCAAGGGCCCAACAATAAATGAATGGCTACTTCATTTAGGATAAGGTCATCCATGTTGTAGCCTGTGTCAGAATTTCCTTCCTTTTTAAGGCTGGATAATATTCCATTGTATGGATACACCACATTTTATCCAGACACAAAATCAGACTGTATGATTCCACTCATCTGAGGTATCTAAAGTGGTCAAATCACAGAGACAAAAAGTAAAGTAAGAGTTGCTGGAAGGGAGGAGAGAATGGGGAGTTGGTGTTTGATGGGGACAGACTTTAAAATTGGGAAGATGAAAAAGTTCTGGAGATGGCTGCACAACAGTGTGAAAGTATTTCATGCCACTGAACTGAACACTTAAAAATGGTTTAACTGTTAAGTTTTTGTGTGTTTTATCACAATTATTGTTTTTTGTTTGTTTTTTGATAGAATCTCACTTTGTTGCCCAGACTAGAGTGCCTCAGCATCGGCCTGGATCACTGCAACCTCAAACTCTTGGGCTAAAGCTATCCTCTTGCCTCAGCCACCTGAGTAGCTAGGACTATAGGCACCCTCCACAACACCTGGCTGATTTCCATTTTTAGTAGAGAAGGAGGTTTCACTCTTGCTCAGGGTGGTCTCCAACTCCCACCTTAGCCTCCCAGAGTGCTAGGATTACAGGTGTGAGCCACTGCACCCAGCATATTAATTTTTTTTACTATATAATTCAAGCTTTATAAAGGATATAGATGTTATCTGTAATTGGAAGCTCAGCAGCAAAAAAGCAACTATCCCTTTAAGTCTAGCTACCATTCTGCCTTATCTTTACTGCAAGTAACTAGTAGGTGCATGGTTACTGTTGGAGCCTTGGCTTGGATTATTGAAGACAACAGCTTCTTTGCATATTGCATTATCTTTCTTCCAAGAGACCCTTCTGGTATTATATAGTCCTGTGCTTTTAAGGGCTATAGCTATAGAAGTTCTATTACCTGTCCTCACTCACCCATTGGAGTGTGAATGGTAAAGATAGTTTTTTCTAAATAGCGAATAAGTAAATAGTTTATATTCTACTTTCAACATAAATCTATCACAGTAATTCATGCATGAAAGGAAAGTGAAATATATAATGTTTGAATTGATTTTAATATCACTGGACTTTCAGAAATTTTTTTTTTTTTTTTTGACAGAGTCTCACTCTGTTGCCCAGGCTAGAGTGCTTCAGCATCAGCCTGGATCACTGCAACCTCAGACTCTTGGACTCAAGCAATCTTCCTGTCTCAGCCTCCTGAGTAGCAAAAATTGTGTGCTGTTAAAAAAGTAACTGCCATTTTTGTGCAAGACATTTTATGATGTATCATATTTAATCTTCACACCAACCTTATGTGCTATTGCCTCTCTCATTTACAGATGAGGAAACTGAGGCTGAGAGGTTAGCAAGCAAGCCCTGGTTACACAGCTGAAGAGTGGCAAGAAGGAATTTCAACCTGCTTCATTTCAAAACACAGTATTTGAATTATTATATACTATAGAACCCACTGTAGTAGCATTAGGCCAAATATGAATTCTTTGTAATCAACTGCGTCTAAAATCTTGAATATTTACACTCCTTATGCTATTATTAGAGAAGAACCTTTCCTTCTAATACAGGTTAAAATGTACATCAAAATACTATCTCAGGGTGGGTGAGGTGATTGACACCTGTAATCCCAGCACTCTAGGAGGCTGAGGCAGGTGGATCGCTTGAACTCATGAGTTTGAGATCAGCCTGAGCAAAAAGTGAGAACCCCGTATCTACTAAAAATAGAAAAACTGAGGCAAGAGGATCGCTTGAGCCCAAGAGTTGGAGGTTGCTGTGAGCTATGAAGCCATAGCACTTTACCCAGGGCGACAGATAGCTTGAGACTCTTGTCTCAAAAAAAAAAAAAATACTATCTCAAACATTTTCTTATTTCTGAAGCTCCAAATTCACATGATAAAACCAAAGCATATGTAGCGACAAGTCTCAAAACTGCCCATCAAAACTGTAGGGACTACAAGTGGGTGTGGATATCTTTTTTGGAACACAGTATGGATTGTCTTCTTTCTAATTTTCTATTCTGTGTCATTCTGCTTACTTGGTTTCTGCCCAGGACCCCTGTAGCAGGGTCCTACACTACTCTGTGGCACACTTGGCTTTTTTCGGCATGGTGGTTAGGGACAGGGAGGTGAAGGCAAAGCCTCAGAACTACCGTGGAAAGGACAGCTGTGCTGCAGGCCTCATCAGGACGGCCAAAATAATCTGGGAGCTTCTCTTCTTTTTATCATCAGCAGGAGTGAGAAAGGAGATTACACACAGGAAATAGAGACCTCAGTGGAGAATCTCAAACTGTTCAGTTTTTCAAACACACAGAACACAATGATGGTCTAGAGTTGAAATAAACAATTTTATTGTTAAGTTTATTTACAGAACTGGACATTGACTATTTAATATCTTTGGAAATTAAGAGACTTTAGAATACTATTGGGATGGTGGTATAAGAGATACATTTAGAAATTAGCCAAGCTCCTCTGGGGAAAGCTGGACCATTTCCCCCTTTTTCTCTGAAATTCCCCTTTCAGTCTGCCTGACCTAATGCTGTGTGACACCCAAGTAGTTAGCCTAGATACATGTGGGTAGAACTGCCCTTCTCCACCAGGGTAATTTTGCTTTTCCAAGGAACATTTTGACAGCGTACAGAGCAGTGATTTTCAATGGGTGTCCCATGAAAATGTTTAAGCATCATTAATTAAATTATCAAAATACATTCAAGACACAGTAAGTATATTCTCTTTTTTTTCCCCACAAAAAAATAATTGGTCTATTCAATAGTTGGTTTATTTGTGGAAAATTATTATTTTACACAATATTATTTTGTATTTATATAGCTCCTTCTTCAAGAATCTTAAATGCTTTACAGATATTATCTCAATCCCCACAACGACCCTATAAGGTAGGTATTACTCCCACCGTATAAGACAGGGAGATTGAAGCACAGAAAGGTTAAGTAACGTGCCCAAGGGGCTTTTCTTTCCTCTTTTTTTTTTTTTGTTCAGCCTAAGTATGCCACAGAAGATAAACTATAGATTCCTCTCCAACTTCCCTTTAAGGGTGTGTGTCCACTGGAGTTTAGAGGATTCAGAATCAAAACCAACAATACTGGGCAGTGCCTGTGGCTCAGTGAGTAGGGCGCCGGACTCATATACCAAGGGTGATGGGTTCGAACCTGGCCCTGGCCAGCTAAATTTGCAGTGGCAACTGTAACAAAAATAGCCAGGTGTTGTGGCAGGTGCCTGTAGTCCCAAGTACTCGGGAGGCTGAGGCAAGAGCATTACCTTAGCCCAAGGGCTGGAGATTGCTGTGAGCTGTGATATCACAGCACTTTACCGAGGGCAACAAAGTGAGACTCTGTCTCAAAAAAAAAAAAAACAACAAAAAACCACCAATACTGTTATCAACCCAAGACACCAGAGTTCATCCTGACAGCCAGACTATGACTGGATCCTTCTTTCCCTGTCTTGGGGGAGCTAAGCACACAGCCATTCCTTTTCTTGAGACAGGGTCTCACTTTGTTGCCCTTGGTATAGTGCCATGGCATCATAGCTCATAGCAACCTCAAACTCTTGGGCTCAAGCGATCCTCCAAGTAGTTGGGACTTAAACAGGAGCCTACCACAATGCCTGGCTAGTTTTTCTATTTTTAGTAGAGATGGGGTCTCACTCTTGCTCAGGCTGGTTTCAAACTCCTGAGCTCAATCAATCCACCCACCTTGGTCTCCCAGAGTGCTAGGATTATGGGCATGAGGTACCACACCCAGCCCATTCCCTTTCTGTTTAGTAAAGTGCCAGCAGAGATGTCAGATGGCCCACCTGGCTTTAGTCTTCTACTCTTTTAGTTCCTTCATCAACCCCTAGGTTTTGGGTTGGCTTTGCAAGATTAAATGCTGAAGATTCAGAAGCCATCTTTTTGACTCTGTGGCACACAGAAAAAAATTAAAATGTTATTGTAGTACATTTGGATAGCAGCTCAACAGCCATCATCCCCAAACATTTAAAGATCAATATTTCCTGCATACCTGTTCCCTCTTTAGGATCCCCAGACTAAGTGAAAGCATCAGAATGCTAGGAAAGTACTTTAAAAAAATCAATCAAGAATTTTTGTAGTAGTCACGATTAGTAGCAATTCATTGCAACAACTGCCTGAGAAATGCAGATGGCTTCCCCCCCATTTTCCCCCTCCATAAAAGTCCCTTCAGCTAATTTACAAATTAACTAAATGTAAATCAATTAATTAAAAAATTAATATATAACAATAGAATGGAGATTGCATATAATTCTTAAAGCCTGTAGTGAATGACATAGCACTTGATATTGACATTGAGATCCTAAAGAATTACAGTTATAATATCAAAAAATTCTGCACAAGACATAGAATTTTACAGTACTTTGGTTGTAGCAGGAGCCTAGAAAAAAAGAGGACAAAATAAGAAAGTCGATTTGTTTATGTCCTCTGAATTTTTTTTCTTGCGCAAATAAAACTCCAGGAAACTGAATGAGTAGCACAATTGTAGGTTATGGGCTGAGCTGAAAGAAAATAATCTTGCAGGTCATTTATAGTGCTGGGACATGAAGAGGTTCATATTTTCCTAAAAGTGGATTGTTTGATGCAGATTTCTTTCTCCAGCTATGATATGCAGGAAATATTTATGCACACAGAGAACCATTTCAGTGAGGACGAGTTCTGAACTCTCTGAGGCAGTGCAAATTTGCCATGGGTTATCCTTAAATGATGAGTCTGCTTCTGCCCATGCCCCTCCAGCATTAGTTCTGGCTCACTCTGATCAACTGAGTCAGAATGTCTTTTCTGTAACATAGGTAGAGTGCGTAAGCCAGCTTTCCCACTGTGGCTCCCCTGCTGCCTTCCTTCATCAGCCACTTTTGGAGCATCTGGTAAACCTTCTCTTTTAGTCCATCTCGCTCATAGTCATGGTCAATTTCATCAATCTGAGATTGAGTGAGGCCCAGTTTACGGGCACAGTTTTTCCATTGCTTTCCCAGATTTTCCCTGACAGGTTCCAGGTGTTTATCAGTCAGAGTAGTGGTATTCTCTGTCAAATAGAAAAGACAAAAAGTTATCAATCTCTAACCCCTATGAACATTCTAGCTTCCTGAACTGCTGAAAACCCTAAGTGAACAGTACCAAGAGACAGTGAAAAAGACAACTATTTTTTTTTTTTTTTGCAGTATTTGGCCGGGGTCGGGTTTGAACCCACCACCTCCGGGATATGGGGCTGGTGCCCTACTCTTTTTCAGCCACAGGCACCGCACCAAAAGATAACTTCTTTTTTTTTTTTTTTTTGTAGTTTTTGGCTGGGGCTGGGTTTGAACCCACCACCTCCGGCATATGAGGCTGGCACCCTATTCCTTTGAGCCACAGGCGCCGCCCCAAAAAATAACTTCTTAATTATAACAGCTGCTGACTCAATGGAAGACACTTCACAGGCCTCCTGGCCCATGTGCAGTCTGTATGTGAATTAGAACAGGGCACCAATTCTTGTTCCTAGCAGATGGCTTTGTGAACAAAACCCCTACATAACTTCTAGGTTGGGTGCTCCATACATTTGCCAGGGGACCTGTTTATCTTATACCTCTCCAGATATAAAGGGAAAAAAAAACACCAGTTTTGCTCTTTTTAGATATTTTCCACTTCTATCTGGCCAGGGTCAAGGGCTCCCAACTCCTGACCACCTCTCCCAGCAGTTCACTTTCTTAATTGGAGAAATTGAAACCATCAAGTATGAGCTCATTGAATTACAAGCGTTCCTTGTCTTTCAAGGAATGAGGTATTTACACTCTTTAAGGTCCATTTTTGGACCCATCCCTTCCTTTACCTTCTCCCCAGCTGTCCTCTTTTCACCTATAGTCATAATCTCTCTTTCCACTGGTTTCCTCATCTTAGCCTTTCATAAAAATAATTAATAAAAAGAAACAAATACAAACATAAACAACTACAACAAACAGGCCATATTCCTTGATCCTCATTCTATCTCAGTAAATTAAATATAAGGAAAAAGACAGGAGTGGTGGCTCACACCTGTGACCTCAGCACTAAGGGAGGCTGAGGCAGGAGGATTGCTTGAGCCCAGGAATTGGAGATCAGCCTGGGTCTTTTAGAGGAAGTGAAACCCTTTCTAAAAAGAACAAAACAAAACCCAGTTATAAAATAAAATAAAAATTTGTCAGGCATAGTGGTGTGAGCCTACAGTTCCACCTACTCAGGAGGCTGAGGTAGAAGGACGGCTTAAGCCCAGGAGTTGGTAGTTACAAATGAGCTATTTTTGTGCCATCACACTTCACCTTATCCCAAGAAAAAAAAAGGAAGGAAAAAGGCATCTCATTTCCCCTTGCCCAACTCCCATTCCTTCCTTATCCCCTATAATGCAAACTCTGTCGCTACCAATGGATGTCAGCAGTCAAATAATTTCCCAAGATACTTGCCAAATTTTGCCAATATTTCTGTAGGAGAGGGTTCCTGCATTTTATCAGATTCTCAAAAGTACCCGTGGCTCCTCAAAAGTTCAGAATCTCAGTTCAGATTCTCTGTTCTAGACATTCTTTTTGCTTTTAACATCCGTGGGATGTTCTAGATATTTTAAAGGCTATCCTTCAAATGGGTTTTATCAGGGATTGTCAGGCTATGGTTTGTGGGCCAAATTTGGCCCCTTGCCTGCTTTGAAATGAATTTTATTGGAACACAGCCATACTCATTCATTACCTGTTGTCTATGATTGCTTTTGGCCTACAATGATAGAGGTGAATAGCTCTAAGAGAGACCTCAAAGCCAAGCAAATCCTAACATACTTATTACCTGGCCCTTTATACGGAAAAAATTGCCAATCTCAGGGTTAATCACATTGTTTTGGCCTCATGATTACTCTTCCCATACTGTATTCTGGGGTTAACATTAGGGGTCTGCATTGTAGAACCCTATAAGAGACAGCACTCTTGTTTTTAATGATAGAAGTGCTGTTGAGGGCATAGCCTTCTATCTCTTATTTATTTATTTATTTTTTAAATTTTGCTTTCAATTGGCTTTCAATCTTACTTTGAAGTTTTTTGTTTGTTTGTTTGTTTGCTTGTTTTTCTTTTGCTTTCTTTATTTTTTATGGAGACAGATTCTCACTTTGTGGCCCTCAGTAGAGTACTGTGGAATCATAGCTCACAGCAACCTCCACCAACCCTTGGGTTTAAGTGATTCTCTAGCCTCAGCCTCCCAAGTAGCTGGGATTACAGGCGCCAGCCAGAACACTCAGCTATTTTTTGGTAGAGAAGCGGTCTCACTCTGGCTTATGCTGATCTTGAACCTCTGAGCTCAGGCAATCCACCTGCCTTGGCCTCCCAGGGTGCTGGGATTACAAGCGTGAGCCACCACACTGGGCCGCCTTCTATCTTTCATAGAGTCCCCTTTGATGGGGAACGTTTTCACTGGAAAACTTTCAGAAAGAATCATCAGAGAAATTTTAAGATTCCACCATATCCCTCTCAACAATTAAGAAAGTTCAAGGTTGCTAGATATTGGGTCCTTTAGGGGCAACTTACCAAAGATACGTTGGTACTTAGAAGGTGGCTCCTCTGTCAAGTTCATGCTGTCTGATAGTGATGAACCCACTCTACCCATCTCCATTTGATTGTAGACTCCAATCTGAACGCCAGTACTGTTCAATATGGTGCATTTTAAAGACTCGTCTGAATAGAGAGAAACATACTGCTAAGCACTTCTACAGCAGAGCAAAAACAAGAAGAAAAATACAGCATGGTAAAAAAAAAAAAAAGCCGAGCTTTACTACAAATATTAAATTAATTATCCTATGCCACTCTTTAAAATTTCCTTCTTTAAAATGTGGCTAACTTACCTCATACTATTAGGATGGCTACTATCAAAAATTAGAAAATAAGAGTTGGCAAGGATGTGGAGAAAACGGTACCCTGTGCACTGCTGGTGGGAACACAGAAGGGTGCAGCTGCTGTAGGAAACAGCATGGAGGGTCCTAAAAAATTAAAAACAGAATTGCTGCATGATCCAGCAATCCCATTTCTGGGTATATACCCAAAAGAACTGGAAGCAGAGCCTTCAGGAAATATCTATACATTTATGTTCATGACAGCATTATTCAAAATAGCAAAAAGGGCAGACCCAAGTGTCCATCAACAGACAAGCAAAATGTGGTGTGTAAACACAATGGAGTAGGATTCAGCCTTATAAAGCAAGGTAATCCTGTCCCATGCTACAACATGCATCAATCTTGAGGGCATTTGCTAAGTGAAGAAAGCCAGTGACAAGACGACTACCACACGATTCCACTCATATCAGGTACCTCATATACTCAGTTTCAAAAAGAAAGCAGGTAGAATGGTGTCAGAGTCTAGGAAGGAGGATGGAGAAGTGGTATTTAATGGGGAGAGTTTCAGTTTGGAAAGATGAAAAAGTCCTGTGGATGGATGGTGGCAGTGGTTGCATGTGAATGTAAGTAACGCCAATGACTGTGTTTAAAAATTGTTAAAATGGGCCGGGCAAGGTGGCTCACATCTGTAATCCTAGCACCCTGGGAGGCTGAGGCAGGTGGACTGCCTGAGCTCACAGGTTCAAGACCAGCCCGAGCAAGAGTGAGACCCCGTCTCTACAAATAGCCAGGTGCTGTGGCAGGCACCTGTAGTCCCAGCTACTTGGGAGGCTGAGGCAAGAGAATCTCTTAAGCCCAAGAGTTAAGGTTGCTGTGGGCTGTGATGCCAGGGCACTCTACCAAGGGCAACAAAGTGAGACTCTGTCTCTAAATTTAAAAAAAAAAAAAAACAGGTTAAAATGGTAAGTTTTATGTTCTTTGTATTGTACTGCAATTTAAAAAAAAGTGGCTCTCCTAAATCAGAAAATAGAGTTGGATGAATAACACACCAAGGCTCAGCCTCATTTCCCAGTAGGACCCCACTGCCTGAACATCTGTTAGGGTCCTCCTCCTGTGGATGGCCGCACCCAAACCTCTCACAGCTCAGTATTCCAATCCAGCCACCACTTTCCCTCTCTCTCTTCTCCTCTCTCCTCCCTCTCTCCACTCTAGAGACTCCAGTTCTGCCAGGTTTCCTGCTGATCCGTTAATATGATGATCTGCCTTTGCCAGCTGTTCCGTCTGCCTGGACTGCCTTCTCCCCACCAGTTCTCCCTACGTGTGAGTTTCTGCTGCCTTCCTGCCCAAATCTGGCCACTGGAAAACCATAAAAGTTGTGAAACAAAGCAACAGAAACAGCCCTGCACAAATTCTACCTTCTTCCATGAGCCGCACCATAATCCTAGACTCAGCACTGTGCCCTAGGCTGCTCTGTACCAGAGCTAGGTCTGTCGGACTTCTTTATGAACACACAGGTCCCGAGAGGGCAGAAACCCCAGGGTTTTGTATTCCTTGCACTTGCTAGCCTAGGACCTGGTATAAGGCATGTGCTCAGTACATCCATGCTGAGTTTAACTTGTTAGATGTTAGTTCTGTCCTTAAAGAATATTTGATGTGTCTGCAGGAGAGAGAAGGTGGGGGAGAAGACAGTTCTGAGGAGGCAGATAAATGAAATTCATCTCTAGGTAACTCTGGTCAGCACACCTGGCCCAAGGAAGCCCACTGGACCAGGTGCCACACTCACTTTGTTGCATTTTCTCTGATGAAGAAAACTAGGGGCCTTCTCTATTGAAAGGTGTAAGAAATGTGTGGTGCACACACTCAGTATTTGTGTATGATTCTGGGTGGTTTATGAAGCTGCTAAAACTGAGGTCATTAAATCTTACTAAAGAATCCCTGGCAACAGGCTCTACGGTGCACCCCAGCTTCCTACCTGGCAGGAGGGTGGTGACTGGAATGGTGGGTGTGTTTCCTAGCAGGTTGGTCTCAGGCACTGGAGTCTTGTATAGACTAGACGCATGGTTTAAATTTGGCCCATACCAAGATCTTGGACCTGCTGTTCCTGGATCCAAAGGTCCTATTCCAAAACAGTGTGGATTATATAATCCATTGTTCCAGAATAGTTGGGGCTGGCTGGTTAGCCCCGATGGCTGGTGCATTGCATTACCATGATTGGGTGCACTAGAGTAAGCAAGGCCTTTTACCCCTGCATTCTGAACATTCTCATAAGATCTTTGCTGTGCAAAAGGGTCATGGGTCACCCTTCGTCTCTTTTCCTCCTCTCTGTTGTAAGCCACATTTGGTTTGGGCTGCTGTTTCGTCTGCCTGTCCATGCGACTGCCATAAAGGTGATAGTTGGCTTCCTCCTGGAGTTTACTCTGCAGGCTGGGGACAGTCTCTTCTTGCTGGTGCTCCAGGGAAGGAGCAAACCAGGACTCTTCCACAGGGCCCACCTCGAGTCCCTGGGAACTGTGCAGGGAACCAGGCTGCTCCGTGGCTGAGAAGGAAAGATCAACATTGGAATAGGTTTCATAAAACAGTAAACAGTAAAATAAAACCTGAGCACAAGCATAAACCAAAATACTGAAAATAAGTAAGAGACAAATACAAAACATTTAGGAGATGGTCTTCTTCTGCCAAGCTTTGTAGATAACAAGTAGGAGCCCCTGGCTGTCAGCGAGAGAGCACTAGGTAAATTATAACAACCAAAAAGAAAAAATGGTGAGGGATGACCAAGGAGGAAAGGGACTTGAGTTGGAGCAGAGAAGAAGGCTGTCGCCTTGGCCATGATTCAGGGTAGAAAATAAGAAGCACAGCTGGTCTGTTCTCAGCACTTTCCATGGATTCTTTCACTTTTTAAAAGTCCTCTGAGAATGGGAGCAATTATATGATTTGATGGGTGAGGTTTACAAAAGGTTAAGTAGTTTGCCCCAGATCAGATAGCTAATAAGTGGCTTCAATATCATATACTCCACCTCTCTTTTCATTGTAATGACAGAAGGATCCCCGCTTGACTCTAAGGCTGGCCTCTCTGTGCTCCAAATCTAGTCACCTCCAACCTCCACAAGGACTTTGCTCCCACATGTGTCTCCTTCTTTCTCCTCAATCGACACTTTCTCCCTATCAGATATATTAAGCCTCTTGTGTTCAGAACAATGAACAGGTTTCAGAACAGGACCATTTCTTCTGTTTCCATATGGTCCTGAATAGTATTTTAGAGAGTAGAGTAAATGAATGAGCTAACGAAATAAATGAATAAATAGATGTTGACCATAGTGTAAGTTACCTGAATTTGACCTGCTTGGAGGTAGTGCCACACAATCAAGTTGGAGAGACTCCATTCTCTTCACAATTGCATTTTGGTCTGGATACGCTTTCTGTAATTAGGAGCACAAATACACACTTCAGTACAAAGCAGAAAATATTCAGTTCCATAAATTTATAATGAGAAGAATTCTTTTCTGCATAAAATTATAATGAGAAGAATACTTTTCAGAAGGCAGAAATTTCACACAGATCTTACAAGTGGTAAATATAAAGAACCTGTGGCTCAAGCGGCTAAGGCGCCAGCCACATACACCTAAGGTGGCAGGTTTGAATCCCCAGCCTGGGCCCGCCAAACAACAATGATGGCTG